ATTTTTCAAGTCTCAAACTTAAGAGTTATTAGTGATTCCTCCATCTTCCTCACCTCTTGCACCCATGGATTACCAAGGGATATGAAGAAACTTTTGGGGGTGATGAATATATTGATTGTGGTAATGGTTTCACAGGTGTATATATTTGTTAAACTTATAAAGGTATACACTTTAAGTATGTGCAGGTTTGTTGTTAAAATTTTTTAAATCATGCTGGCTGCTGACTAGAGAATGAATTATAGGAGAAGGCAAGAAAGAGTGCAGGAAGGCAAGTTGGGAGAATATTGTAGCAGCCAAAGTGAGAGATGATGGTGGCAACAGAGACAGAGAAAAAGAGGAGAGATTCAGAATATATTTAATGGATAGAGTATAAAGGATTTGATAATGGGCTGGTTGTAAGAGGTGAGGAACATGGGGGAATCACTAATAACTCTTAAGTTCGAGACTTGAAAAACTGGATGGACTACAGTGCCATTTCTAGAGGATGAAAAAGGCTAAAGTAAAAACAGGTTGGCAGAGAATATGGAGAATCAAGTTTTGTCAAGAACATGTGTTCTGTGAAATTCCATCTGTGGACCAAACTGCCTCAGGAAATGCCTGATGCCTGCATTAAAAATGCTGGTTCCATGACTCCACCACAGACCTACTGAATCAGAATTTCTGAGAAATTGTGATTAAAAAAATATATATTTATTTGGTTGTGCTGGGTCTTAGTTGCAGCATGCAAGATCTTCAGTCTTCATTATGGCATAAAGGATCTTTGGTTGTGGCCTGCGAACTCTTAGTTGCAGCATCTGGGATCTAGTTCCCTGACCAGGGATCCAACCCAAGCTTTCTGCATTGTGAGTGTGGAGTCTTAGCCATTGGACCACCAGGGAAGTCCCAGTAACATAAACTTTTTATCAAAATTTAGAACTTTCATGCTTCAAAGGGCACTATCAACAAAATTAGAAAATAATTCACAATGGGAGAAAATATTTGCAAATCATATATCTGCTAAGGGATGTGTTATCAGAATATATGAAAAACCCTTATTAATCAATATAAAAAGACAAATAATCCTATTTTTAAGTGGGCAAATGATCTTAGTAGACATTTTTCCAAAAGCAGATATACAAATCATCAGTAAGTACATGAAAAGACACTCAATATTATTAGTCATTGGGGAAATGCATGTAACTCAATGAGATATTCTTGTTGTTGTTCAGTCACTCAGTCGTGTTTGACTCTTTGTGACCCTATGGATTGCAACATGCCAGGCTTCCCTGTCCTTCACCAACTCCTGGAGCTTGCTCAAATTCATGTCCATTGAGTCGGTGATGCCATCTAACCATCTCATCCTCTGTCATCCTCTTCTCCTCCTGCCCTCAATCTTTCCCAGCAATAGGGTCTTTTCCCATGAGTCAGCTGTTCGCATCAGGTGGCCAAAGTATTGGAGCTTCAGCTTCAGTATCAGTCCTTCCAATGAATCAGTTCAACCCAAGGGTTGATTTCCTTTAGGACTGACTGGTCTGACCTCCTTGCTGTCCAAGGGATTCTCAAGAGTTTTCTCCAACACCACAGTTTGAAGGCATTAATGAAAAAGGTGCTCAGCCTTTTTTATTGTCCACCTCTCACATCCATACATGACTACTGGAAAAACCATAGCTTTGACTCTGTGGACCTTTGTAAGCAATTATTAGTCATTGGGGAAGTGCAAGTCAAAATCTCAATGAGATATTCTACATACCCAAAATGGCTGCACCATTTTATATCCTCTTATAAATTGCTAATGAGAATATAAAGTGGTATGATCTTCTTGGAAAATACAGTTTGCCAATTCCCCAGAAACTTAGAGTTACCATATGAGCAAGCAATTTCACTGCTAGGTATATGCCCAGAACAATTGAAAACCTACATTCACACAAAAACTTGTACATGAATGTCATAACAACTTTATTCATAATAGTCAAAGTGGAAACAAACTAAATGCTCATCAGCTGATGTAAGATAAACAAAATGTAGTATATCCACACAACGGAATATTGTTCAGTCATAAAAGAATGAAGTACTGATACATGCTACAACATGAACTTGGAAAACATTATGCTACATGAAGGAAACCAGTCACAAAACACTTCATATGACTCCATTTGTACAAAAGGCCCGTTGGCAACTTTCAAATATGCAATATGGTATTAATTAAAGCCATCATGCATGATTTAAGGTGACTTACATCATTAGGACTTATTTATTTATTTTATATCTGGAAGTTTGTGTTGTTTGACTCCTTCACCCATTTTGCTAACACCCTACTTGCTGCCTCTGGCAACCACCTATCTGTTCCATGAGTTTGATTTTTTTTTTTTTTTTTAGATTTCACATATAAATAAGATCATATGGTATTTATCTTTCCATCTGACTTATTTCACATAGCAAATTCCCTCAAGGTCCATGATATCACAGATGACAAAATCTTTTTTAATGGCTGGATAATATTCCATTGTATATATACACCACATTTTCTCTATCTATTCATCCATTGATGAAACTATGGTTGTTTCCACACCTTGGCTATTGTAAACAGTGCTGCAGTGAATATGGGGGTACATACATCTTTTCAAGTTAGTGTTTTTAATTTTCTTTGGATAAATATCTAGAGGTAGAATTTCTGCATTATATGGAAGTTTTATTCTTAATTTTTTGAGGAATCTCCATAATGTTTTCCACAGTGGCACCACTGTTTACTTGAATCCTACCCTCTAAATTGGTGAAATAAATGGAATATGAATTATATCTTAATAAAGATGTTATTAAAAAGCAGAAAAGCACACACACACAGAAGGCTTGTTTCTATGGAACATCTTGAGTGCAGTGAGTTTAGACAGGTCATGCTAGAACAGAGTAAAGAGGAGAGTTAATGAGTTCCCACAGCATTTACAGCATTGTTATTGGCCCAGTTTTACAGGTGAGGAAACTGAGCTATACAGAAATTTAAGGTCATATAGCTAGTACAGGTCAGATATCAGATTCTGTAGGGACCTTAGCAGCCCTATTACTATCTCCTGGGAATGTGTCTCTGTTTTAAGATGAAAGCAAGGTGGAGAACATCTACAGCTAAGGATTTCTCAATGGCATTGCTCTCTCCTCAAGGTTGCCAAATCCTCAGCGCTCCTTGGGCTTCCTTGATAGCTCAGTTGATAAAGAATCCTCCTGCAATTCAGGAGACCCCAGTTCAATTCCTGGGAAGATCTGCTAGAGAAGGAATAACCTACCCACTCCAGTATTCTTGGGCTTCCTTTGCAGCTCAGCTGGTAAAGAATCTGCCTGCAATGTGGGAGACCTGGGTTCGATCCGTGGGTTGGGACGATCCCCTGGAGGAGGGAGGGAAAGGCTACTCACTCCAGTATTCTGACCTGGAAATTCCATGGACTCTATGGTCCATGGGGCTGCAGAGTCCGACAAGACTTGGTTTCTTGGTTTAGAGCAAAATTTAGGACAAAGCAATCCCTTTGAAGCTATCAGTATGCAGCTTCTCTCCTTCAGGGAAGTGATGAAGTGATGTCTGTCTGGCTATATGAATACTTAGCTGAGGATGAACAGATAGAAGACTTTATGACACAGTACCTGAATATCAGAGCACCCTCTGAAAACTCACAAAGATGTCACTTGTATATAAGCTCCTTGAATGTTCATGAGTACCTAGGACAACACTCATTACTCAGTATAAATTTACTATAGCAGACTTCTATTTCTCACAAGGCACTTTGTTTTCATGTAAGTATAGGGTTTTGTTTATTAGACATTCGTTTTAATCTGATTGTCAAATGAATACAAGGACTGAAATCTTTGCCTCCATTTTGGACTGTTTCTGTGAGCTACATTCCCATCCTGAGTCAAAGGGTATGAACACTTTTAAGTCTCTTGATCTGCAATCCAAATTGCTTTGCAAAAAGACTGAACCAATTTACACTCCCACCAGCAGTGTATGAAAATATATTTAAATGCAAATTCCAAGCTGCATAGAGCCACTTTCCTAGGTATTTTACTTGAAAAATTTTCTTTAATGCTAAGCAAAAGCTGACCCAGGACGTTAAAAAAAGAAATCTGATTATAAAAATGGAGCAGATAGTTAAAACAGCTCTTAGGCAGAAGTAAGCTTTAGAAAGACCCAAGCCAGGTGATAAAAAATTTTAAGGCATCCTGGCACAATTCTAGAGGGACCATTAACAATTTGGCTTCAGACTGGAAGAGCAACGGCCAAGAATGTCGGGCGTGGTCAGTGTACCAAATTCTAGTTTAGAAAAAGCAGGGTATTTTATTTATTTACATTTCAATTTGTTCTAAGGACGATTTAGGACTCTTAAAGGCAGGATCTTGAGAAGTAGCATTGTGTCTGAATAATCCTGTGAGGAGGAAACAAACCCACGCCCCCCTGAACTACGGTCCACGCTTATCTCTCGCAGCCCCGGATGCCTTGCCTCCGTAATCTCAGTCCAGTTTGCAACCACAAAGACTGCCTCTGCGTCTAGTAATGGGGCACAGAGATTGCAGGGGGCAGGGGGATGGGGCGGGCAAGGAGAAGCCCGGACTTGGGACAGCAACCCACTGGACTCTACACAGATCCAAAAGGTGCTGGGACTTGAATCTTCAGCCCGGAGCACCCCTCCGCCGGGTACGTGGGAACCCGCCCGCGAGCCTTCCGTCACTACGCCTCCGCGCGCCACCCCCGCCCGCCCCCGACCCACGTCTACCAGAAGGAGAGGACGCTCGAAGAGGGGTCAGAAACTCGAGTTCGCCCCTTTCCACTTTTCCTATTCACTTTTGCTCCGCCTGTCCTGCTCTCCCTCCCTCCATCGCTTTCTCTGCTCATTCCTGTCTTTCCCTCTCCCTCCTCCACGCCCGCTTTCTCGGCTTCTTCCCGGGGACGGAATCTCCAGCCGCCGCCTTTCCTCGGGTACGGGGGCCCCCTCCCGCCCGCCTCGCATCCCCTCCGCCTCTCATCCCCCTCCTCAGCGCCTGAGGAACCGGAGGCGGCGGCGGGCCCGGACGAGCGCCTGGAGGTGGCGGACGAGGCGCCGGGGGCCCCCATGGGCGGGTGTGTGGGCGCCCAGCACGACTCCTCGGGCAGCCTCAACGAGAACTCGGAGGGCACCGGAGGTAGGTGAGCGCCAGGGGGCAGCCTCGGCCCCCCATTGTTCCCGGCCGGGCCTGGCCACCTGTCCCGGCCCCTGCGGGCCTCGCGGCCGGGGCCCCCGCGCCCCTTTGTCATCCCCTCTTCCACGTCACTCCGCGCGCTCCGCTTCCGGCCGGCCGCCGGGTCGCCCCCTTTTTTGCCTGACCACCCCCCGCCCTCAGACAAGCACTCCGCGCTCCGGGAAGGTAGCCCACGGCCTCTCGACCCCACCGCCTCGGCTGGGAAACTCGGACCAGAAACTGCCTCTGGCTCCGTCGCTCTCTCTCCAGCCCGTTTAATTATTCAGGAACAGGATGGCGGCGCTGGGGTTGCAGGAAAGCGAACTGATGGGGGTGGGGGGGGTGGGGAGGGGAGCCTAATGCATTCCCTCCGACGGGCCCCGCCACATCTCTCCGAACCCGGCCTTGTTCAGCAGAGTTGGCTGGTCTCCGCTTTCCTGAGTTTCAGATGACAGCTGCCCTGGTTGGTTCCAATTTGGCCATTTAAACCTGCAAGTTTCTGGAACTCGGCTGGGGAAGTCTCAAGTGGCCACAGGCATTATTTTAACGAGGGGTGGGGAAATGGTCTGCCGGAGTAAAACGTGGCTTCTTGCTCCAGCCTGGGGATATTGGGCCAGTGCACTGTCGGGGTGGGCTAGTCAAATTCCTATCCATCTTACGTAAAGGAAAATATGTAGGATAAAAGTACAAATGCTGTTACCCCAGTAGGATCCGTACTTTAAAAGTTTCTGTGAAACGGAACGCACTTGTACTTTATTGTAAATATGTTTGCTGAGGAGAAGTATTTTAATTCAATCAATGTTGTAGTAAAGGAGAAGAGTAGTCCAGTTAATTTCTACTTTTAGTTATATGACCTCTTACTGGGTCCATTCTATAGCTTGTGTAGAGGACAAAATGTTTTAGTTAAAGAAGAAACAGCTTTTTGAAATAGCAAAGATGACAGTGTTGGTTTTGTTCCAATCTTACGTTAGATGTCACAAAAATGTGGGGTGTAAGTTCCTAAACTAAATCGTTTGGATAGGTGGGTTTACAACTTTTTCTTAACATGCTAACATTTGGACCAGTTGCTTACCTGTCATTAAACTCCATGTACACCTAACTTTTGACTTATAAAATGTCCTGATTACATGATGTTTAGCCATGCTACTTCGTTAAAATGTACGGGCATCCTGTATGACTAAATCCTGGGCAAATTGGGAGCTCAGCAAAGCATCTTGAAAAAAAATTGTCCATGGAAAGTGGTACTTGGTAGTGCATTTCAAGTCATAGCATAATTACTCAGTGGCACGTTAACAATGAGATTTGCGGTAAAAACCAAGCAGGAAGATAAAAGGCGCATGATTTAAAATAACCTTGGGTTAAGATCAAATTGAGGGTCAAAATCCTGTGGGTGAGGTGATCATTAATGGTACCAAACTATACAGGTAGTATTACTTTTTGGTAAGTATAGGTAGTGTGCTTGTTACAGGTAGTTTTTTCACACTCATTTTAACATTCTAATTGAACAGTTTTCTCTTGTTGGTAGTGCCCTTGAACTGATGTATGGTTTTAAGGCCTTTTGGTGGTTTGACTTGTGACCAGCCAGATGTTATTAGCATGGGCTTTTAAAAGCAAGAAGTATTAGCTTTTGGTAGTTTATTATTACCAGTGGTACCTAGTTAGATAGTTATAGTGTCAACTTCTTTGAGAACTGAGTTCTCTGGATTTTAAGCTATGCTTTAGCTTTTCAGAGTAAAGTTTAGGAAAAAAGTCATGAAACGTTGGTTTTATTTTTGGAGAGAACGCAAGACACTGATGTAACTGGGGTGAAGGAGTGAGCTGTGTGGGATAAAAGGATTATTTCTAGAATTTAATTTGTGGAGGCCTTTATTCTTCATTATTGTCATGAAAGTTAAAGCGTTAATTGTGGTTTAAAGGAATTAGCCCAGGTGAGTGTTTCAGGTTAACTTATTAAATAGTTACTAGCTTACTACAGTAGATTTTTGTTTGGAAGGGAAAGACTTTTTCCTAAGGGTGTTGGCACAGATCCTTCACTTTTCAGATATACAGTAGTGGTTTTAATCTGGACATATTGGGCTATGAAAAATTTTTTTTCAGCATGGAGTAAAGCACAGTTTCCCAGTGTTGTTCATGACAGATTTAAGATTTTCATGACAGATTTAATTACATCCACAGTGTTGTGCAAACATCATCATTTTAGGATGGCTTCACTTTCTGAATATCAGCAGACTTGGTAAAATGACTTAAAAAACTTTTTGGGCCATTTGAGGTACTGTACTTTCCCTTTCCCTCTGAATCTTAAGTATGCAAATAAATGTGTATATTGAGAATAACTTCCATTCTAGGTGCAGTACTTTGAAGAAATTTGGGAAATTTTTGTAGGAGTTTTTAGAATATAGAAATGGCTTAATTAATGTCATAAGATTTCTGTTATGTATTGTTTTGGAATCAGTTGCCGTATCTTATGGTATACCTTGCCTAGAATTCAATTTTTGAGTTTCAGCTATTTTGACCATTTTTTAAATGCCTAATTTTAATCAAGAAAGTTATATTATAGAACTTATGCAAGATTATTTAACAATACTCTGCAAGCTTCCACACTCCTAGAATTTCCAGCTGTTTTGACATTTTCAGACAGCATATTTTGTATAGTTTTCCACCTTATGATGACATTGTGATGCTGAGGTTGGCACTTAGGTCCTCTAGACAAGACTGGCCCATGGCATTTACTAAGTAATTAAATCTCTGATGAGTTTTAAAAATAAGAAATATATGATTAAAAAAACAATAAAATGAAATTCATTGAAGACAGCCAATTCCCTTCTTTTCATATTTTGATCCTTTAGTGAAAGTAGTGATGTATCAATGCAAAGTAGGTTCTCACCTTTGGGTATGTCATTTATTTTGTACCTTCAGTGATATCCCAAGAGTACTGACCAAGGTGGTCAACAGTTTCTAGGTTTACAGGAGGAGAACTCTGAATACTGAACATTGACTAGTTTGGTTTTTTTTGGCTGCTGCGTGCAGCATATGGGATTTTAGTTCCCCAACTACCGATCGAACCCACCCATACCCTTGCAGTGGAAGTGCAAATTCTTAACTATTGGACAGCCAGGGAAATCTCAAACACTGACTTCTTTATTTCAGAGTGTCTTGAGAATATCATGGAGTTCTTTCGGATATCCATTTATAGCAGCCTTAACACCTACTTGATGAGAACAATGCTTTTTGAGTAATAATAGCTACCCATTTAATCCAATATTTATTGTGTAACAGGTATTGTGATTATGTTCTCACTTAGTCTTCAACAACTCTGGGAGGTGGATAGTATCTATTTTATAGATGGACTGATTCTGGGAGAAATTAAATAACTTGCTTAACATGGCAGAGCTTCCAAATGGCAGAGTCAGAGCTTAAACTGGGGCTAAAATAAAGAATGCTGACTTTTTCCCCTTTTCCTCTAGTTTAATTTTTTTTAATTTTAGTAAAATACATATAAAACTTGTTATTTTAACCACTTTTAATATACTTCAATGGCATTAATTATATCCACAGCATGCAACCATCATCACTATGTATTTAGAGAGTTTTCATCACTCCAGACAGACTCTGGATCCATTAAGCAATATCTTTGCTCCCCTCTCCTCCTAACCCCTAGTAACCTCTGATCTATGATTTGTCTCTGAATTTGCCTGTTCTCGATATCTCATATAAGTAGAATCATACAATATTTATTGTTTTGTTGGTAGTATATTCTACTTAACATGTCTTACAGGTTTATCCTGTTGTACCAAGTATCAGTAATCCTTTTTATAGCTGAATAATATTCTGTTGTGTATACATGCCATATTTTGATTATCCCTTCATCAGTTGAGAGACATTAGGATTGTCTCCACTTTTTGGCTATTGTGAATAATGCAGCTATGAACTTTAGTGTACAGAGAGTAAATCCCTGTTTTCAATGCTTTGGGATATATACCTAGGAGAACCTAGGAATTGAGAGATCATGTTAATTCTATGTTTACTTCTTAGAGGTAAATTTTCCCACAGTGGTTGCACCATTTTACATTTCTTTTAGCAGCATACAAGGGTTCTAGTTTCTTCACATTTTCACCAATGCTTGTTATTTCCCATTTTAAAAATTATAGCTTTTATAGTGGGTGTAAAGCGAGGGACATCTTATGGTTTTGGCTTGAATTTTGTAATAGTGATGTTAATGTGCTCATTTGGCATTTGAATATCTTCTTTTAATAGAAATACCTATTTAAGTCCTTTGCCTTTTTATTTTTAATTGAGTTTGGGCTTTGTTGTTGTTATTGAGTTGTAGGAGTATATTAACCCTTATTCTGTATATTAAACGCTTATCAAGATACATGTCTTCCAAAGAGCTGCACGGAGAGATAAGAAAACCTTCCAAAGTGATCAATGCAAAGAAATAGAGGAAAACAATAGATGGGAAAGACCAGAGAGCTCTTCAAGAAAATTAGAGAAATCATGCAAATTAGAAATCAGAAAATTAGAGAAATTCGTGCAAAGATGGACACAATAAAGGACATACGGCATAGAAACAGCAGATGTTTAAAAGAGGTGGCAAGAATACACGGTAGAACTATACCAAAAGATCTTAATGACCTAGATAACCACGATGTGTGATCACTCACCTAGAGCCAGACATCCTGGAATGTGAAGTCAAGTGGGCCTTAGGAAGCATCACTATGAACAAAGCTAGTAGAGGTGGTAGAATTCCAGCTGAACCATTTCAAATCCTAAAAGATGATGCTGTGAAAGTGCTGCACTCAGTATACCAGCAGATTTGGGTAACTCAGCAGTGGCCACAGGACTGGAAGAGGTGAGTTTTCATTCCAGTCCCAAAGAAGGGCAATGCCAAAGAATGTGCAAACTACTGCACAATTGCACGATTTCACATGCTAGCAAAGTAATGCTCAAAATTCTCCAAGCTAGGC